ACAGAATTATTAATTTGCTTAACCTTTAACAATACTTGTACATGTAACATTTGCATTAATAATTCACAATATGTCAGAATATTTTTGTTTCATATCATTACCTCAACAATCTCAAAATATGTAATTTCCAATACAGTACATTACCTCCACTCACATAAATAGCTATTCTCGTTCAGTGTTGCTCTTCTATGTGCAAAAAAATTGTTTACACATTCCTCAAGCCTTTTATCTCACCTACATTGGAATTGACTGATTCCAATGCATCTCTCATGCAAATCATAATGCATCAATCCTCCACTAATAAATGTGCGACATAATCTCATGATGCATATGACTCCCTCTTTTAAATTCTACCCGAACTATCACTTCTTGTTTGGTAGTACTTGTGTTCAAACGTTTTTTCTTTTGGTGCTGTTTGTGTGAATTGTTTTCATGGTTTTAAAAGTTTCATTTCCGAAGTGACATTTCTTCATTACTTTTTTTTCTTTACATTGAAAAAATCTTTTAATTTAACTTCCTTTTGCAGTCTTTATTTTTGTTCTCACACTTGCATATTTTTCATCAAACACTTTTGTCTGAATTATGTATTTCTACAATGAATTCTTTGTAGAATAACTTTGGCTGTTATACCTTTAGCAATATTTTCACAGGCTGCAAGCGGGAGAGACCCATCATTGAACTTCTCTGCTATTATCTGCCGTGAGATTGATTATTATATGGGACAACCTCCTTCTCTTGAAGTTGCCCCACTAATCTTCCTGAACAAACCACACCTGTTTCGGCCAATGATGCTTTGATAGCCACTTTTACACCACTGGATTTTGGGGCATCTTTCCCTGTCATCTTCAGCTCTCGCTTTACACACATGGTTTCACCATTGTTGGGATCTTCTGGGTCACGATGCAACCTAGTCCCAGATTCATTTGTTGCCCCTTTCTTTTAGGGATTTATGTATGGCCCTTTGTTCTTTGGCGATATGTTTTCAATGATTTATCCGAGACTTTGGATCATGTGTGTAATCTGTGTGTTAACCACTTTACCCTTTCCTCTTTGGTTGCACATTTGTTGCAGTTAGAGCCACAACAAGTCCCTATTCCTTTCCTGTCCTAGTCCTTATCTACCCTTCCCTGTTCCTCCTTCCAGGGGTTTCTCATCTTGTCATTTTATTCAACATCGATGGGCATGTTTTCAATGATTTATCTGAGACTTTGGATCACGTGTGTAATCTCTGTGTTAACCACTTTACCCTTTCCTCTTTGGTTGCACATTTGTTGCAGTTAGAGCCACGACAAGTCCCTATTCCTTTCCTGTCCTAGTCCTTATCTACCCTTCCCTGTTCCTCCTTCCAGGGGTTTCTCATCTTGTCATTTTATTCAACATCGATGGGCATGTTGCTTACAGTACCACAGACTAACCAGTGGGAGCTTGACTGTTTGATTTTGTTACCCTTTGGCGATCTCTCACTACAAATCCACAGGTTCTTCAGGTTTTATCAGAGGGACTTGTTCTACTATTTCTTGACTCACCTCCATTGTCTCAGGTACCTTTTCCTTACCCATGATTTGGGAATCTGCCACCAACTAACATTTGTCCAAGACAGTACAAGGTTTTCTCTCTCTCTCCAGGCTTTTATTCTAGGATGTTTGTTGTCCTCATGACAAACTGGAGACTGGGGGCCTGTACTAGGTTGGTCCCATCTCAATCTAATTTTCAATCTGCCCCATTTTACCTTGGAGTCATTTCTCACCCTTAGGTGAGATTTTTCTCCAGGTTTATAGATGACCAGGAGGATTGTCACAAATGCTTATATGCATATCCCAATATCTCATCACTCGCAACCCTTTCTTTGGTTTGTTCTCCATGGGGTGGTATGTTTGTTTCATGCACTGACCTTCGGTCTTGCTTCAGTCCTGTATGTTTTGACAGGTGATCAGAACATTCATTAGTTACATATGCTCTAGGGTTGTGCTTTCCTCTTTCTTTGGACAACTGGCTACTGTTAGCTTATTCCGAACAGGAGTCCTGTTACCCTTATCAGCTGCTTCTAGAGGCAGCTATAGTGGGCTGATTAATTAAACTGGAAAAGTCCTTACTATAATAATGAAAGTCTTCCGGATATATCCGGAAATCCAAATATTTCTAAAAAATCCTGAAAACCTCCAGTTTTCTTCTGGAGAAACACATTTTTAAAAATTATTTATCAGATTTTGGTGTTCCATGCCATAGATAAGTGTTTATGCAATCACGCGGTTTGTTTACATTCGGCGACAGGGTGCCGCCATTTTGTAGTCTCGCAATGCTTGCTGGCGTATACAAGGAAAGAAGAAAAAGCACTGCCAAGTCCAGCTCCTTCTAAACATGGATCAAAACAATCAGTGCACACAATTGCTAAAAACATTAAAAAAACAATATGGTCAAAGAGGGGAGTTAGCAAGAGAAAACGAAACAGTGAGGATGTTGAAAAACCAAGGAAGAAAAAGAACTAGTGTTGTTGGTGTCACTGTCACAGCTGGTTTTCTCTTTCATAAGCAGACTGTCTTGTTTTATTAATATAGAACTATGAACTTTTTACAGAATTTGCAGTTCATTCCATGGTATATGTATAATTCAGTGCTTTATTGATGGATCTGAAATCCTTGAAGTGGCATGGTTATAAGAAATATTCCTTTTGTGTTTTCTTCACTTCGGTATTGTGATAACTGATAATATTTTATACTGAATGAGCTCAAATTACAAGAAAAATGTGGCTGATTGATAAGATCTTTTGTAAACTAAATGAGTTTGATTTTACAATAAATATGTC